TTATTTGCGAGTGGATTTGATTAATGCAGTTGATGATTAAAATATATACATATTTGTAACAGTAAAGATTTGTATCATTATATTATTTGTATATACAAGAATAGAGTATATTACAAAAATTTCAGGGTGGCCCCCCCTGAGAATGGTTTCTATGGGCGCCCATGATGATTCGTAATATCTATAATTTTGCTTGCCGATAACTGCCACTTCTTATCTGTCTATACTTAAACCTCCGCCAATTGCGATGGTCACAATGTTACAGTAGAGTTAACTTTCTTTTTCATAAAAAAAGTATAATCAAATCAGTATCTTTTTACTCATGTTCTGCGTAATGGTCGTTTGATCTTTGTAATTTGCTACGTAACGAAAGCTTTTTGTCAGTTTCGTGACGTAAATAACGATTAAGCAAATTTTTTATGCATTTGTAATACTGGAATACATACGAATTTTTGTGGCATTAAAAATTGAGGGAATTTAACGTGCTTTGGATTTTCAACGGTGAAGTGGTGAACACGAGAAAAGGGTATTGTACACTTTCAAGTGGCTACTTAACGCTTAAATTATGTGGAGCTTGGAAATAAGTTATGCAAAAAACTACTCTAGCGAATCTCATATTGAAACTGGTCAGTGTAGGTATTTTTAAAATATCCTTTGGCTTCAGTTGGATTTGGTGTTCGAGGTTTATAAATAATAAACAATCAATCATCAAACATAACCAGCAATTCAAATTTGGTTTAATTTGTCGTTTATCTTTACACTAATAACATCGTCATTCACTACCTGTTGATAAACGCAAATGCAGCGTCACTCTGACAACTAAATAGTTTTAATTCCATTTAACAAGGTGTTACACGTTGTAATTTGGAATGACAAGCATTTATACAAAATCACCTACATAAGTTGCTGGAATGACTCAGATTCTTTTCAAATGTTGACTCTATTTGTCATACGAGGTATTATAGATTATGAGAGTTCAACAGTGTAGTTTATTTTTAACTCATACTCGTAGTATTCTAGCTTTTTAGTCAATACACCAGTAGTTTTAATATTTAATATTTTTCTAAGGAAATTCAGAAAAAAAAAACACATTTATTAGGCGAGCATTACAAATAGGTATAGTCGTTTTGTGTTCCCAATCAACGTCCATAATGTGTCACTTTTTCGTACTGAAATGACAAAATTACTTTTTTGGACTGACTTGCCATTTTCTTGGACTGACTTTTTTGTACTCAAATGTCAAAAACTTATTTTATGTTTTTTTAAAAAAGCACTAACCACTAACATAACCAATTATTTTTCTGTCTGCATCTCGGCCAAAGAGAACCCTTTGGGCTTCATCTGATTTGTAAGCCTCGGCCTCAAATTGGTCGAAAAAGTTCTTCTTTATGGCCTGACGTTAACTGTACTAACAAAAGTTTTTGAAAAAAAAAAGTTACCATAAAAGCATCTGAAAATTGATCTGCATACAAAATATTATAGTATACATATCGATGGCAGCAAATCTTTTCACAGTGTCTCTTTTTGTAGTTAGTATGAAAATAATTGCACCATTCTGACATATTATTTAAACTGTAATTTAAGCAAGACATTAGTATAAGAACAATATTATGAAAACTTCTCCTCATTGTCCGTAAGACTGTATATAGAGGAATGACCAGCATCTGCGTCAAATACACTATCATTACTTTGAATTACAGAAAAGTTTAAAAATCATAATAAATTAATTTAATTGAAAATGACTAATGTGTTTCAACCGAGTACTTAGGCAACACTTCTTATTTTTTGAAAATGTGTCTTTTACAGTTATTTAAAGATTACTATCACTTGTTTTTGGGAAATGATTTCATTATTAGTTTTAAAATAATAATATCCCAAGTTATCACTATCGATTTTTTGTGTTTTTAATTATTTTTCATAAAATTTAAGAAAGAAAACAATTTTGAATATTTAATTTTTTTATTAAAATTTTGTTTTTTTTTTAATTCCATAATAATGAATGATGATATTTTAAAAAACCAATTTCCAATAAAAGCTTTAAATATTACGTATTAATAAAAATATGTGTTCTGTCGATATATTTTTTAAACAAATCAATCAGTTTTTTTTTTAAATTCATGCATACCATTACTAACAATATTACATAAATTATACTTCCTCTGTCTTCAAATAAAGTTTCCAATTTCTATATTTTACTAAATATTACCTTTATTTTTAAAGATGAAGAGATTTTGTTTATATCTGGTGTATGTAAAATGCAAGATTTTAATAAATAAAAAAAAATACTTTCGTGGTGTTTAGTTGCCCCAATTCAAAGAAAAGAGCCTAATGTAATAGAAGAAGCTCGTCAGGGCATCTACCTGTTTCTTCTTGAAGTATTTAATCAATGTTGAAGTTTTTTTTTCACAACTTGAAACTTAAAACATGTTTAAAATGAAATGAAAAGGAAATATCGATTTTGCAAAAATTAGGCTCCGCCCCATAATTGCAAAATCCATATTTCCTTGGAAAAATGTACCATTTTAACCACGTTGTAAGTTCCTTGTTGTAAAAAGATGGCTATGTCCATTAAAAAAAAATGTAAAATATAAGCCCCGCCCACCCGTCCTATCTTAGTTCTGATGATTTTTTTATTAGTCGTACGCCGAGAGGAGGAGCTCCATAGAGATTATCACGCAAAAATAAAATTCCACAAAATCAAATTTTATAATTTTTCAGAGAAGCAGTATTTATTGCACTGTACTTCAGGAGCGAGGGAAATTCTGTCGAAATAACTTTCGATTATTTTTTTTTCTTAACATATATATTTTTCTTTCAACAACATCATACTTAAAATACTTAAAAACATGTTTGACATGGTAGTTTCTTGTAGGGAAATAAGCATTTTGCAATTAAGCTCCGCCTCTCGGCTCACGACGAATAAGAAAATTCATCACAATTGAGACAGGGCGGGTGGGCGGGACTTATGATTTGCCTTTCTGTTTTTTCTTAATATACATACTCTTCACAACAAAAGACTGAAAACATGTTCTCTACAAATTTACCATTTTAAACAACTTTTCAAATTTGCCATGGAGGACGATTCTAAAAAGTCTTTTTTGTGAATGTTGCATTTATACGATTAAAAAAAAAAACGGAATGGTGAAACCTGAGAAAATGTATTTTATGAATATGATAATAAAAGAACTGAAAATACAATCCAAAATTTTAACTATCTATGTGTTTTAGTTAATTGTGAAGTTCAATATTATATCAAAACTTATTATAAGATGTTATATTTGTTTTCATTAAAAAATCGATTTTTTTAGAAATCGGGCACTTATTTTGGGATAAAATTTATTTCCAAATCGGGCAGTTAATTTGGGACAAAAGGAGTACTACATAAACATAGTATAGAGATCACGATGATAATGATCTCTATACTGTGACATAAATATGTAATGCAACCAATTATACACATCTTGATTTACACATGAAGGTATAGTGAACCAAGAGTTATAAGGTTATATGGCCATCATAAAATCATCCCATTGTGTCGAAGTTAAGTTGTTTACAATAGAAAAGGTTTTAGGGTCGTAAATAACGTGTCCACTGCAGCTCGACCGGCTCTTGTGTTTCGTTCAGGGGCGGCTTTCACTAAATATGAAAATCCACCACTCCACTATTTCTTTACTACCTGCAGCCGCTGAGGGTTCCGAAATAACCACTCGCTTTGAAAGCCGGCCCTGTTAAATATGAGCAAGAAATGTTTAGAAGATGATTTATTGCCAACCGGTAAGCTTAGTGCGAACCACACAAAGGGGGTATTTATTTGCGGTCAACTACTTTTATGATGGCCATATAACCTTATAGGTCTTGGTTCACTATACTCTCAACGGATTTTGTAAGTTTTTTTGTCTAATCCGTTTTCGATCTATCACTGATATTAAAATATTACTTACACTTATTTTTTCGTCAAGTTATTGTTTAAAACGCTCGTTCTAATGCAGTTTTTTCATATGAATTTTCTTTTTAGAGGTTTTCTTTCTAGAAACGTGTCCAAGAGTTCCGCTGAAATTCTTCTCAGAGTAACAAAATTGCGAAAAAGATTATGACCATAAAAAAACTGTGCACGTGCCGTCGGTAGACATTTCAGACCAATCCCAATTTAAAAATTTGGGAAGTACTAAGTGGTGTTATACAATGGGATTAGTCAACCAGTCCTGACTTATAAATAAGTTAATTTGCCCCGGTATTTAGTTAATTTTACGTTTGGAGCTGACTGTATATCGTTGGCATTCAGCCGTATTTACGGATCGTCGTCTCATTAGTATCATATTGATTAACGAATTGTGTTCACACGACATACACCGGTCACTGATGCATTGTCAACTGCAAATGGAAAAGTCAGTGAACATCTGTACTTGCAAATGAAACCTATTTTAAATGTGGTATTACGTTAAAAAATGTAATATTGTTTCCACCGTATTAATTAAAGAAGTTTTTATGTAATAAATTGGCGTAACTAAAAATAACACAGACGCGACTATTTTGAGACGCTATATCGGTGGCTAAATAGTAATTTATTACTATTCTCCTTTAAATAATAAATATTAAAATGTGGATAGAGTAATGGAATAATCTGAAATTATGTGATACGTGTTTAATCGCAGGTAATTCGTGGTAAGAGAGTCCAATAGTGGCATTTTGCCGTTATTAGCGTTCCCGACGCACTTGAAATATCAATAACATGACCGTATTGGTATCTATTTTTCGCAAAATTCAACGGTTAAAAAGTGGTTTGATAGTGAAACATCAAACACATTTGACAGGTGGATACATTGTCAAAACAAAAAAAACAACGATTTGATGATGTGATTTGTCACACGCACACCGAGCCAAAATTTGCTACACTCATAAAACAAACTAATTGCGCTATCATTTCCTAATGATTCCATCGTAAAAGCAGCGTGTTTATTTTCGGAAACCTGTTAATTGTGTTTAAAAGTTGCGCGTTGACCTACCTTAATTTAGTCAAATCCCGTTGGCGTTGATAATAAATCAGAGAGCAGTTCTTGAGGAAAACCTTGAAGAACATATTCGCGACCGGCCGCCGATGACTGTAAACTACTTAATAAATGAAAAACACGGAAAATGAGAGGTTAGAACTAGTCAGATTAGATACGTCATGACCACACTCATGCCAATCAGCTGTTCCACGACAACCTCCTCTCCGGTGGTGGGAGGCGCCACGTGCCCAATAGCGTGCATCTCTTTCCGCATCGCGCGGTCGCTCCACGTACCTCTCGCACGTAGGTCGTAGCTTGTGCGCAACGCAACATGTGGTATTTTTTTCTGTCATATTGATCTGTCAAGTGCTGCGGGTTTTTTAATAGTTGTCGAAACGTCGAAACCGTCAAGCTGGTGCTCGGCAGCGGCGTGTCTTTGTTGGGTGTTCCGCCGTGTCCAGAGTGAAATCGCAATTGCGCGTTGTGGGTGTCCTTATGGCGCAGAATTAGCGTCGTGTGGACGAAGCTCCGCCATCCAGATATTGACTTTTTGCAGGAATCCCGTGCATCGGTGAGAACGGCGAGTGCAGGGTAACGTGGGGCCGCGCGGACGCTCGTCCTGCTGGAGTTCCAGGCACAAGGCGCATTGCCAAAGGTCCGTACCTCGCGGAGCGGTTCGTGCAAGACCCGTCTTCTGGCAGTCGATACTTTTGCTGCAGAATGGTGTGATCCGCCTGCAGACCGCGCGAGACCACCACACCAGGACACCCTTCGACGAGAGTAACAACGTATTATGGTGCCATGAGACGGGACAAGGACCCGGATCGACGAGACGTCATGAAAAAGTTCACGTTCAAAGGCGTTTTGGACAACTTCCGCACCTCCGTGGCGCAGCAGGCCAAGCCCGACCAGGAGATCCAGGAAACTCTGCGTCCAGACAACTTCCAAGTCAAAAGGGTGAGTTCAGCTTGTGGGGGGCTTATCGCCAATTAGACCGTTACAAATAAGACCACTAGGATATTTTTATTTCTGATAAGCGCTAATATTTGTTTGCGTTTGGTAATTAGCGCTGCTTCGCTTTCACACCAGAAGATAACAATGCGGGTGTTATAAATAATGGCTTTTATTATTTCGGTTTGCGTCGGATTGCGTTAGCGCACCTTAATTGTTGTGGTAATGTTTTTATTGTATGAAGAACACTGTTTTGCAAATATACGACTGACTTAACTAAAGATATACCATCAATAAAAATATTTCGAAGATCCATTAAATGATTCTGGTGTCAAGGGTGACTCTGGAATTTGCTAATTATTTTTCCGCCTTGTTTACTTAATTCACTGTAATTATGTGACTAATTATACAGTTGAATGATTGGAATTGACTAGCGTATCGATTGCTAAAAGCTATTAACATAGTTGTAAAGAGCAGCACATTTTTTTTTAATTTCAAAGCCGCCGTTGAGGCTCCACTTTTATCTGAAATCAGTCTATTTTTTTATATACAAAAAACTAAAAATGAGAAACGATATTCTGTTTTTAGGAAAAAATACCCTATATAGACATTTGTATTGACCTGTATACAGCAATTTTTACTACATATTTATCTTTTAGGGGTGCCATTTTTTCGTTATTCCAAAAAAATACAAGAACTTCTTAAGGAAATTGCTAAATATATTCACCTTATTTGACTCTCCGCTACTGGGAATTGGTTAAGATGTGCATGTTTGTTGACCTACGTACGGATGACGCACGGCTTTGAGCCCACAAAATTGACGAAAATTATATTACGCGTCTTATCAAGCTACCTATTAAATATTTATTGGTGTATTGCAAAACTAAAAAAAGGTCATATTTCTATTACTTTGAAAGATGATTTTTCTGTTTCAAGTAAAAAAATGGAGATACAGTGGGAAAATAATAACAGATACGAAGTGTAATAGCAATTTATGTATTAAGTAGTTAAATGAGAGTTTTTTCGCACTAGACGTGACGTCGTGTGCGAAAAACACAATTTCGCTACCTATTCCGTTTTATTATGACAATCAAAATTGTTCAAAAGCGTCATTTTTAAGAAATTTGCCATCCTTTTGTACAATTATTAATGAGCAGTTGATATCATCATGAGTACTACGAAGATAGTATTGGCGTTACACTAGATATTGAGGGTGCCACAGAGGAGGGTATATTTATAAATTAAGGAGCCAAATATACCGGGGAAGACAATGCTGACTTATTTTTTCGAAAAATCCAATTTTTTTAATCCTTCACACTCAAAATTCGCAGCTGCAATTTATTTAAATAAAAATATAAATACATATAAGCAAATTTTCAGATTTAATTGCATTGTTAAAATGGAAAAGTGAGTTGCCTGGACAAAAAGTCGAAAATGCAACACTACAGTTTTGTTTTTTGAAGACTTATCCACTTTCAATTTCGGAGCTTTCACTAAAATTAATATTGTCGTCACAAAGTCGGTACCAAATGTACAAGTCAACGTGTGGGTATCAACACCATTGGCAGTGCCCAAAAAATTGCAACCTAAAGAATCCGATCAATACACCGGTCATTGTTTTCGCAAACACAGTGTTGGCTGAATCTGGCGCTGACATGTGCATTCTCAAGCGGCACGGGAGATGGAAATCTGCAAGTGTAGCAAGAGACTACGTCGACTCATCGATAGGTAACAAGAGGAAAGTTGCCAAAATGATTTTAGGCAAGAAAATTTTTATCTGAAAATCAATACTTTCCGAAAAAATTAAAATCACATGAAATGCAGATATTACAGACAGAACACCTGGACTGTAAGATAAAGTAAAGTCACAACAGTACACCTACTGTTTTCCATGATATGCATATCTTCCACTATTCAAGTGAAAGATGAATTAAACGTATCTGCTTTGGCAACGGGAAAGGGGGTTACTGTGTTTCATTTAAATAACTGTGTTATAAACATTGATAATAAATACATTTGTACGTTAATTCGACGATTAAATTAAGAGTAAAAACTAGTCATAGTCACGTTATAAATGTTACTTTTTTGCAGTGAACAGTGAACGCTGAAAGTGACAATCGTAGAGTCAATATTATGAAACGGTATTAGAAAAAAATCTTTATCTACCTAATTTAGTTGCAAAATATCAATGTTTCAAATGCCATTTCCGCATTGAAATGTTGCTCTTTTGATCATTAGATGTCGACATTTCTACATTAATATTTGTTAAAGTTCTGTCTCAAGAGTTTTATAGATATTTCGCTTTTATTTTCTATCGACTCCTCAACTTTCAGCGACGGTACTGGATTTCCATCCACCGTGCCTCTTCAATGTTCATAAATCTGGACCAGCGTCTGCCAGCAACGATGCGGACGAGCTTCGGAAACTGTGGCCTGTATATTGTTCAGAATTTTCTAAACCAAGAAATTTTGCAATTCTTTGTGGAGCACGCAGTGTGTTACCCACAGGTATACTATCTATTCCTACAGCCCAAAAAGAAACGACTGTATTTCGACAGTTTCGGTCGTTGTGTGTCTATTTTTTTACAATTACAACCAAGTTAATTCCTTCAACATGCCCTCACAGATTGTGAAATTCATGAAATCTTTGAAAAGCAATCAAACGTGTGAATTTACCTATGTCAATATTTTACTTTATTCCCATGGCTGATCGCAACGTTTAAATATTGATTTCAAATTATGAATTATTTTTGTTCATGCAATTTTGACTTTTCCGGCGGGCACGAACGTTATTATTGTTAAGAATTAAATCAAAAATTTGTTTGACAGGAATAAGAATTAATGAAAGTTTCACTTTTAAAAGTTCGCACTGAATTAGAAAAAAATGTTGTATGCAAAGCGAGGAAAAAGTGTTTTTATCACTCGACGTGATCAAATATGTCACTTTTGCTTCTTATTACTGCATAAATAGTTATTTTACACAAATGTTAAAAAAGTTTTGTAGGTCAATATTTGCTTGTTAGAAAACAACTTTTTCTAATAACAGTTTTTTGATATTGCAACATGTTTTGAAAGAAAATATTTTCACGTCTTTTGTTTCAACCCAAGAAACGGAAATTGAGACAATTTGTTCCGAAGTGCCTTATTTCAAAAACAAAAAGCGGCGTTTCATGAGAAAAGATGTAAAAAAGGAGAATTGTCATTATTTTATATTGTTCGATGGAGTTGTACAAAAGTTTTGTGTAACTCGTTGGCGCAATGTTGTTTGTGCCTTTGAAAGCTTTTAAAATCGGTTAGAGCCTCTTCAATACAATTTCTTCGTACTCTAAACTTTAAAGTATTATTTTACGCATTAACGGCATAAATAGCTATTGTATTGCCGCCTCGTTCTAAAGAAATCGCATCTTGAATCCTGTAATCCTGTAAACTATTAATTATATTTCAAAATTTTGTATCTGTGTTTTATATTCTATGCCAAACTGAATTAACTTTACCTACTTATATAATATACAAAATACTGGTATTTATTTAATAACACCACTGTCGCTGTTTTTGATTTACTAAGTGATATTAAATAGAAGGACATGCTATTTCGGAAATAATCGATAAGATGAATCGATTCCTAGTGTTTGGAAACATTGTGCAAAAGTCTCAAGCTAACAAATATTGTTAAAAAAAAATTTCACAGAGTATTTAGAAAAAAAGGTTTAATTAACATTTTTGTGGGATGATGAAAGCACAAATCAGTCTACTTTCTTCTGAAAAACAAAAAAATGAGGAACAGCTTCAGTTTTTAGGAAAAATCGTACTTGTTTTGTAGGAAAAAAATGATCTAGAGATTTTTATTGTTTTCTGTGCAGCTATATTTGTATTTTTTTACCTCATTTTACAGTTACAAAAAAAAAAACCACAAAAATTGCCGTACGAAATTTGCCAGATATATTCATTCACCTTGTTTGTCTCTACGATATTTTATGACTTTGATGACTGCGCTACTGGGAATTGGTTAAAACATGCACGTTTGTTGACGTATGTGCGGATGACGCACCGCTTTGAGCCCACAAAATTGGCGAAAATTACATTACGTTTCTTATCAACCCATTCAAATAGGTATTCATTGCTTTATGAATTAAAAAAAGTTCCGTTACTTTGAAAGTTGATCTTTCTGTGATAATTAACAAAATGTAGAATAAACAATAAAAACAGGTTGTTTTTCATTTCTAGAATCTAGAATGATATAAAATATAAATGAAAGGGTATGCGGCTTTTAACTATTTGGTAAAATAAATCGGTCCATCTGTGAGTCGTATTTCCTGTATAACTAACTCTAAAAGAGTAATAGAAATTTTGTTTATTCGTTGCGTTATTAACTTTGAAAGAAATGTATTATGTAGCTTCTGACAAAAATTTCATTATTTAAAGATAGATTTTTAAGATAGTCCCCATATGCATGTGAAATGACGTCATTAATTCTTTAGATGGGATGAATAAACAGATTTTAGTTACCTCTTTACCGTTCCCGTGGTAATTTTAATGCTCGTTAAAAAAACGGATGAACCACATACAGATCACAGATAGACAGAGGCGGACGGAAGAGGGAAACATTTGTCAAAATGACCCTACTTTACTTTGACGATCGCGCAGGAAGCTATCTTTTGATACAGTATATAAATAGAAACCGACATGAAAAATTGTCGCTTTTATAGTCATTTTATATAGGTATGTTTCTGCAGGTTGTGTGCGAAACAGCAGTTTAGCCAACAATAATTTTTTTATCAAGTTCTGACCCAACTGAAGGAGAAATCATTTTTCAAAAGGCTAAATACGTTTCGTGGGTGGGTTTTGATAAACAGATGTCTTGAGAAGTTACCTTTCTGACATTATGTAATTATGTATACAATATAGTAAAAATTTATTGTCAATTTTTTTTAGTAACTATTATTTTATACACTTTACTATGCGTTTTTATTTTTATTTCGTATATTAATTTGCATCCAAAAACCTACG